AATAAACAAATGTGAGTGCATCAAACTAAAAAGTTTTTGCAAAACAAAGGAAACCTTCCACAAAATGAAAAGACAACCCAATGAATGGGAGAACATATTCCCTAATGATGTATATGATATGGAGTTAACATCCAAAAATTATAAAGAACTCATAAATCTCAATGCCAGAAAAACAAACAATCCAATTAAAAAGGGGGCAAAGGACCTGAATAGACACTTTTCCAAAGAGGACATACAGATAGTCAGTAGAATTATGAAAAGATGCTCAATATCACTAATCATTAGAGAAATGCAAATTAAAGCCATAATGAGGTATCACCTCATACCTGTCAGAATGGCTATAAGCAGTAAATCAACAAGCAGCAAGTGTTGGTGAAGATGTGGATAAAAGGGAACTTACATGTACTGTTGGTAGGAATGCAGATTTGTGCAACCACTGTAGAAAACAGTATGGCGTTATCTCAAAAAATTAAAAATTGAACTGCCTTTTGACCCAGTGATTCCAGTTCTGGGACTATATCCAAAGAAACCCCAAATGTATAGATAGAGAGCAAGATGACAGCTGAGGGGGAGGAGGTTAGGGGGTAATATAATTACATACATTATTACATAGCCAGGCATGAATTGCCCCTTACTGGTTCATTACATATTGTATGTAATTACATACAATATAATTATTACATTACATAATGTGGAATGTAATAAAAAATAAACTAAAACAAAATAGAAACAGACTCAAAGATACAGACAACACACTGAGCTGTCAGAGGGGAGGGAGTTTGGGGGGCTGGGTGAAAAAAGTGATGAGATTAAGAAAAAGAGGATTGAGCAAAAAGGATAAAGGACTCATGGACATGGACAACAGTGTGAACAGTGTGGTGATTGTTGAGGGGAGGAGGTATAAGTGACTAAATGGTAATGGAAAAAATACAATAAAAAATTTTTAAAGGAATATATGCACCCCTATATTCACTGCAGCATTATTTACAACAGTCAAGATTTGGAAGCAGCCCAAGTGCCCATCAGGAGATGGGTGGATAAAAAAGCTGTGGTACATTTACATAATGGGATATTATATTACTCAGTTGAAAAAAGAAGGAAATACTTTTTGTGACAGCATAGATGGACCTGGAGAGCCTTATTGTAAGTGAAGTAAGCCAGTCAGAGAAAGATAAGTACCTTATGATTTTACTTAAATGTGGAATGTAATAAAAAAATAAACTAAAACAAAATAGAAACAGACTCAAAGATACAGACAACACACTGATAGCTGTCAGAGGGGAGGGAGTTTGGGCGGCTGGATGAAAAAAGTGATGAGATTAAGAAAAAGAACTCACAGACACAGACAACAGTATCGTGATTACCAGAGGGAAAGCAGGGTGGGAAAAGGGGATAAATGGTGATAGAATGAGACTTGACTCGAGGTGGTAAACACACAATACAATGTGCAGATGATATCTCGTAGAACTGTACACCTGGAACTTATATAATTTTATTAACCAACGTCACCCCAATAAATTCAATTTTAAAAAAGTGTAAGCAGGGAAACTTCAGAGGCTCCCTGAGGTTTTGGAGCCCATCCAGGAGGATTCTTAGAATCCTAAATGTCTATTTACCTACCCTACTTCCAAAGTTCTGATTAAAAGAGAGAAAGGGGAAATAAGTATGCAACAACTAAAGCCTTAAGCAAACTCTTTTACTAAAAATCAATTTCTAAACAGTCCCATAGTCCCTCCAAATAATATCATCTTACTTTAGTCTCACACTTTTAGGACAATTTGACATCTCCTGTCTTTAATCCTCACTAAACCTCTGAAAAGTAGGTTTATTATTAATCTCATTTAGCAAATGGGTTCACTAAGGTTCATGGAGATTAAATGTCTAGTGAATAAGCAGGCATAGCTGGCACTTGAACCCAATTCTACTAATTTAATTTTTTTACTATGACTTTTTATTGTGGTATAATTGACACATAACATTATAGTAATTTCAGGTGTACAACATAATGACTCAATATTTGTATATATTGTGAAATAATCACAACAGTAATTCCAGTTAACATCTTAGATTCCAACTTTTATTGCTCTTATCTCCATACTATATTGCTTTTCCAATACACTGGAGTCAAGATGCAGGTCTAGAGTCTAAAAAGCAACTGTTGAAAATGTTAAAATTTGTGATTAATGAACTTCCTGATTATCACAGGTCAGAAGAGGCCTTTATGTGGAGAAATGGAAGCACAGAGAGGATGTACTTACTTGTTCAATGTCACACATTGAGTCATTGATAGGACAAGAAACATAGAGTATATCTTTTCACCCTCACGACCCTGTCAATACAAACTTATTACTTCTTAGCTTAATTGCTGGTGTGTGTATATATGTGTGCACATGGTTGCAGACATGATGTTCATGTGTGTTAGGGGTTGAGGGTTGGGGTGTGAGAGGTTGGGAGAAAAAGTAGAAATTACAAATAAAACAGGACTACTGCCTAGGGGCCTGAGAATCAAATATTTTTTAGTCCCAGAATTCAGAGACAAGGTCAGAAAGTGTCCACCTCTTGCAAGGACAACATAAACTGGCCAAGAAAAAACATTTAGGAAAGTCTTTTCAGAATATAAATCTACTTCAGAGGCCTTAGTAAATACAACTAATAAGCCAAGATATATACGAAGTCTCAGCAAAGAGCTTCAAACTTGTCAGGAAAACAGTAACTGAAAGAGGACTCATGTAAAAAAAAAAAAGTAATAAGATGACTTATCACCTGGCCATTAGGAAAAAAATATTGGAAAAAAAAAATTGGCTGGTTAAGCACTGAGGATTTGTTACCTGCATAGTACAAGATGGGGTTGGAGTGAACAGTTAGATATTTCCCCAGAGAGACTAAGCCTCACATCTCTAGATGGGTGCACCCCCGAGCTACCTCATCTTCCTCTTTTTGGAGCTACCACCCACCCACCTAATTACTCCACTCTACGTTCTCTTCTCTCACCCAATCCAATCTACATCTTTGATTCCACTAAGGGAAACAACTGAAGTGTTGTCACTCCAATGAAGGAGATAGGATGGCGGTGGGGAGGGTATTACTAGATCCAAGCTTTGGGCCCTAGGTAAGAGACTCTGATGGAGGTATTTCAAACATCAGTCAGTTGGAAGAGAAGATGTTTTTAGCTTTGAAATCACAGCTGGCCATCAAATGTGGCCCTTCTGACACATGTACTAGAGAAATTCTTGCTTTCAGAGCCAAAACTGGATGAGGGGGTGGAAATATTGAATCAGAATTTCTAAAGTGTGCTGGTGATAGGATCTTACTGGGGATATATTGCATGTCCCCAAGAGACAAGGAATCTCCCAGTCCCTACTATGTAATGTCAAATACCTTTCACAGGGATAGGAAGGATCTCCCCTTCTCTTCTTTCATTTCTTTGGATCTTACTTCTTATCACCTTACTTCTTTTCATTGCCTCTTCCTTCCCCCTGGGGCCTCTCTACTCTTCTTAGTATCTTCCTTTCAATCTCCCTTTCTCAAGAGGCCTCTGCCACCCCAATAACCAAGACCTGAGGTGGCCTTAGGGGAACCCTCTCCCTGCCTCTTCCTCCAACTTGCTATATAGGGGGAAACTGATTCTGCAAATGGCCCTTTTGAAGTAACCTTGCTTTTGTACTTAAAACACCCAAAGATGTGATTGTTTATGACTGGAATTTGGGGGGGGGAATAAAAACCAAGGGGATGAGGGCATATTTCTCCTTTTCAGATTCAAAGTAGCACCTCTTCAGCTCTTCAACTTTTAAATGAGGGAATCTATGCCCAGCAATAGAGAGTAAAGTGCTTCAGGAAACCAAGTTGCCTTTTTTCACCTCTGCTGAGAATGTATAGAGGGATCACAAAAGCCTTGGGTGACTTGATTCACTGCCCAGGTGGGAAAGGAACCTCTGTACCCTCATAAATGATTCATACCACCTGCTCGAAGATATTAATGATCTATTGAAAAGGACAAAGTAGGACTAGCCAAAAAAAAGTTAACTAGAATCAGGCCTTCCAACACTTAACTTTTGGAATATGTTTACATGTAAATTGCCACCATTTGAGGAAGGCATGCCAAAGACAGAAACAAATTGTGCATTTCTCAGTGCCCAGGTTTTGCTTTGGCTCAGAATAATCACGGAGGAAATAATTTTCATGCACAACGGTATCATAAAAAGGGTACTTAATGGGAAGTCAGGTTTCTTGAGTTTTGGCCTGATTCTGCTGTCGATTGACTTGTGTGATACTAGTCAAATTATTTCACTTCTCTGAGCCTTGGTTCTTGATCTGAAAATGAAGGAGTTAGATTATCAGATCTCGAGAGCCTCTTACAACTGGGACATCTAGGATTCCTGGAGCCATCCAGAGGAAGATGAAAAAAATGCAGTGGAAGTGTCAAAAAAAAAAGAAAATTATTCTAATCCTGAATCTTAGATCAAGGGATAGTCCTAACAGAGAAAAGGTGGTACCAAATGTTTGTCTTTCGTAGGAACTGACTTTATTCATCTTGGTCCTTGGAGAAAGACATAACAGAGGGTCAATGGTGGAGGTGAAAAGTCAGAAAAGGTGGCCACTGATCAGGCAAATAGAAAACCCAATACTCACTAGTGCTGTAGCTAATGAAACAGTGTCTGTCACTGCAAAAGAAAACAAAACAGAAGCTTAAAAATGTAAACAATAGCGCAGCTCATTGGAAAGCCAAATTCCAGGCAACTATTTAAGAGAGGAAGATGCAACTTACAGTCTAAAAAATGCAGGAGTTTTAACAATCTTACTCACTGTAGCCATATTTTAAAGAGAAGAAAACTGAGGCAAAATGGAACAATATTTGGAGAACCACAAATGGGGCTGAAAATTCTTCCCAAATTATAGCTCTTAGCCTCGGACACCCAGGTAAACTCTTTCAGCACACCATGATCTCCCCAGAAGCAAGTGTGTCCAACTGGTTTGACTCACAAAAGAGAAGGACATTATACTTTGAGTTCTGTCCTTCCTCAAAGCTCCACTTCACATCCCTCACCTACAGCTCAAAGAATTGTCACAATGCTATGACTGACATGAATGTAATAAGCTATAAAAGAAAGAAAGGTATAACTTTAGATCCTTTCAGGTAAAATCAATGAAAAAATATTAACGTAATAAATACCCCCACTTCTAAATGAACTAGATCTTAAACAAAGTCCCTGAGACAGAGAGCTTCAGTTGGGGGTCTCACAGGAGGAGGAGGGCAGAGTTATGGCTTTCCTCACCAGGCCCAAATAAGGCTGTAGCACTTATCAGCTCCTGGATGAAAGGTCATGCAATAGAAAGGTGTTAATTTAATTCTAGGGTGGAGGTGGAGAAAGCACCTGTGCTCTCAACTGAAATGTGACCTCCTCTAAGGGAACTAAGGTTCCAAGCAGCCTCTCACTGGTTGCTTCCAACCAGTGAGTTCACTGGCTGAACTCCCAAGGTTTACATATTCTACGTAAGAGACAAGAGAGTGATTTTCCATATACATCCATACAGCTATCTTTCAATATTGCTGTACATAAAATAAAAATCAATGAGATGTGACACAAGACCTTTGTCAACATTTTGTTCCTACTGTATATTTATAGTTGTCCTTTGAGTGGGTGCATCTAGCTGTATACACACATGAATGTATTATTTTCCAACTAATAATCCCAACATGGGGTAAGAGTTTTACATGGGGAACTATGACTAAAAATTTTGTTGGAAACTGAGTATAATTTCTTGGTAAAGAAAAACCATTTGTTAACTAAAGCAGAATCCTTGACCTTCCTAAAAACTGTCATCCTAAGAAGTAAGACCTTGTTCAAGTTGAATCTTAAATAAAAGTCCAATACTTATTCTAACACACATTTGAGAAGGGAATTCTTTTAGAAGCTTAGTACAGTCTAAGTTGGAAGGCATGGTTGAAAAGAACTGGATGAAATTTGTGCTGTTTACTCACAATGACTTTCCTTCTTTTGACATCTCACTACTGTTGTTAGTGTCTTCCTCACTAACTCATGGGTACCCAGAACATCTGCTCAAAAAAAAGGATTGTCCTATTCCTAAGAGTTATATGATCATCTAGTATGTCCCTAGCCAAGTCTATGTGTGCCATTTCACTAGCATCTGGTTGTCAGGGAGACTTTCAATAGACTAATCATACTGGTGGGAAAGACACTACTCAAAAAAGAGAGAGTCCTGAGAGGTGTGACTCAGTTCGTTGGAGTGTCATTCCATAAACCAAAAGGTCACGGGTTCAATTCCTGGTCAGAGCACATGCCTAGGTTGCAGGTTTGGTCCCCAGGTCAGGGCATATACAACAGGCAACTGATTGATATTTCTCTCCCTCTCTCTCTCCCTCCCTTTTCTTCTTTCTAAAATCAATAAGCAACTCCTTAAGCAAGCATGGATTTAAAAAAAGAATGAAAAAATGTTTTTAAAAAAAACAGAGAGAGAGAGAGCCCTGGCTGGTGTGGCTCAGTGGATTGAGCGCCAGCCTGCGAATCAAAGGGTCGCATGTTTGATTCCCAGTCAGGGCACATGCCTGGGTTGCAGGCCAGGTCCCCAGTAGGGGGTGCTTGAGAGGCAACCACATATTGATGTTTCTCTCCCTCTCTTTCTCCTTTCCCCTCTCTAAAGATAAATAAAATATATTTAAAAAAGAGAGAAAGAGAGAGAGAGAGAGTTAGCTCATTCAAGCCACCATCTAGTTGTGTGGCAAGGAGGATCACTCCAGAGCTGTGTCACTAGTCACATCTATTCTAGTATCAATAGATACAACTGGGCACAAATGAGGTATTGATGATGTTGATTTTTAATAGACTTGTGACATGCCCCAGTCTCATATGAGGTTAGAGGCTACTTCTTTACAGACATTTAATCAGGTGTAGAATTTAATGCCACATCTTAGTTACAGTTATCCATTTCCAGATAAGCACACTAACCAGCTCCTTTAGTGAAACGATCACATGTGTATACTTCTTTGTATCCCTCTTAATGCCTTTCTTGCATAGTCAGTGCTTAATAAACACCTTCTATGTATGATTCATTCAATTTTCTTCTTCCTAGCTGATCATTGGACAAGGTGCTGCCTATATCTGAGTATTCAATTTCTGCTCTCAGTTCTATATATTCAATATGAAATGTGTGGAGTTTCCTTGGTGCCAACTAGAATATGACTTTAGTCTTCTACAAGCTTCCATCAGTCCAGGCTATTGTGTCTAATCCACATTGCAGTTCCATGATCAATTTCACTTTATCTTGAGTTGCACTTCAAAAGAAAAGTCATATGCTTAGCAGTTCGTGCATGACTATGTCCATGGACTTGGTCATATCTGTAGAGTTCAAAGACTTTCCCAGATGTCAGAAAAGCTGTCTGACAACAGCTTCTAAATTCCATGCTGCCTCCTTAATCATGGCTGCATAGGCTAGATCAACTAAGACTGGATTTATTGCTCAAGCCTGTTTCTGCACGAGTCACAAGGAGTGGGATAAGACAAGGCATCACCCACTGTGATATAGGCCACTCAATCATCAGAGACTAGTTTGTGTATATTGCTGAAATTTGGGAAGAACTGTCTTGCCAGGCAACTGCAAAAGCCAGGGATGCTAAGGGCCTGAGTGTTTTTTAAATATAAAAACCATTAAAAACTTTATATAAAATCTATATTCTTCCCAGACTAGCATGAACAAATTGCTTTGCTCAACCAGGTAAAGGAACATTGTGATTCTGACATTGGCTTAGTAGTAGCAATACCTAACCAAGAAAAAATTGCTGACAATAGACAAATATCATAATGGCTTGTAAAGTTTTCTTCTCAAAGATGAGGGAAAGGAGTGATATCATTGATACCATGGATATTTTCATAGCAGCTAAGGGTTTTATGTACAGGCAAGTTGGAATTAGTTATTTTAGAACACCAAGCTCCTTAGGTTGAGAGATAATTGCTAGCTAAATTCAAGGGACCTATCTGATGAAGCCAGAACTCCAGTGGTCCTAACTAGTTCAAAACGAGTAGAGCAGCAAACAGCAGGCTAGGAGGCAGCTGGCTTTGCATGTGTCTCCACAAACTAGTTGAAAAACTAAAATGTCAGTTCCTTAGCTAATTCTTTTTTCAACACAACTCCCCTAAATCCACCAAGCTAGCCAATTTTTTCCTTTACCCCCAAAATTGTTTTAGTTGTTTTGATCAAATACTGGGTGTTTCAATGTCACTTAGCTACAGCTTCATTTCTAGAACAAGAATGTTACATGTTCAATCCAATATCACCCCCGACTGGTTTGCCATAAGAGATCAGGAAAAATGTGTTAAATATCCTTAATCTTCTCAAATTACCTTTTATTTTTCTTTAAAACATCAAAGCATCAAGTACCCTGCTCTCTTCCTCCTCTCTTGAGGAAGAAGTACTTTCCCAAAAGTAAGAGGTTACTATGCCATCCATCCTGCTATAGATACTCACGTAACCCTGCTGCTTACATCCAAGAAGCTGTGTTCACAGTGTTTCTGACAAGCAGTATCTGGGCATGATGAGGCCCACCATTCCAGCAACAATGTGCCCTGTAGAGTAGCAGGCAGGTGGGATTACAGTCAATAGGCATGCATCCAACATTAATAGAAGAGCACTGTCCAGGGAAGAAATGTATGTGCATAAAAGTAAAGTTGCCACCAAATAGCTCTGGGAATTTGTAAGAAGTCTTATAATTAGTAATAAACTCTTTGCCCTATGAGAAGCAAGTTTATAATTATGCAGACATGACTACTCTTCTTATTTATACCTTTGTTCCACGCAACAGTTACACCCAAGATGCTTATATCTGTCAGTAGGGACAAATAAGCCTCAAATTCAAACCAGGAAATCCTGGGCAGGGACTCAGAATCCAAACATGTTTGTTGCAAGGAAAAAATGTGACACTTTTTTCTGCTTTAGTGTTGGAAGAAGGAATGCCACAGGGCTATATGTCTCTCAAACTGTGTCTATCAAGAAAATTATTGCTGCCCTGGCCGGTGTGGCTCAGTGGATTGAGTGCTGGCCTGTGAACCAAAGAGTCACCAATTCGATTCCCAGTAGAGTCACATGCCTGTGGTTGCAGGCCAGGTCCTAGGAAGGGGCGAGTGAGAAGCAGCCACACACTGATGTTTCTCTCACTGTTTCTCCTTCTTGTTCCCTCTCTAAAATAAATAAATAAAATCTTTAAAAATTTTTGAAAAATTAAAAAAAGAAAATTATTGCTAAGATAGTTTTAAAATTTGAAAAGAAGTAGGGTTGACTTTCAATCATTTGTATGAGGGGCATGAAAGTATATATAGATAATCCAAGAATATTTTCTATTTGGACTTAGAATGTTTCTTGTTCTTACATTTTAATATAGCCACGTTAGGTATTCATTGAGTTGACATTACTTGGAAAAACTTCAGCAACCATACTGAAAATCTAGTTCAGGAGTATCTAGTAAGTGCCTCCACCTTTACCTTTATTATTTCTACTCTATGTTAAAATTAATCAGCATTATTATTATTTTTTTGCTGTTTCCTAAGTTAGAGAAAGTTATTAGTGTTTTTGCTTCCAAAAGTTCTATCTGAACTTTAATTTTTAAGAATAAAAATGAGGACTATAGGAGGGGAAAAGATGGTGGAGGAGTGAATGGGAGTAACACTGACCTCCTCCCTGCAAGATCAAACTAGAATTGCGATTAAATAGTGGAGTAATCACCTGGAAAACAATGGAACAATAGTGGGAGAGGAGCCTTGGAGCCGCGGACAAACAGTGGACTCAACTTTCACACATCCCAATGGGTAAGAAGTGCAGCGGAGGCTCGAGAAGGTGGGCTGGGTGCCCACGAGCACTGGCACCAGAGGGACACTGAAACAGCCAGTTAGCTCCTGCTGAGAAGAATAGGGTCTGAATCATAACCAAGGACCTCTAAACTACAGCAACTAAAACCAGGAAAATACAGACAAAACGCAACCCCGAAAAGCTTAGGGGCGCTCTCTACCACAGACAGGTGGCTAGGGATGCAAAGAGACATTTAAAGGGACAACGCAAAAATTGCAGTGGCAGTCATTCTCCTTGATCTCTGGGTAGAGGCGGCAGCAGGGTGGGCTGGTGCCTGGGAAAAGACTGGTGAGGAAAACTTTGTGAAGAGAACTGACACGGCGGCTGGTGGAGCTCCTGTAATGACGCACCTCCCACTCTGCAGCTACCATCTCCATCAGGCATAAGGGAATCAATTAACCTGCCTTTTGTGCACTCCACGCACAGCTTGTGCATGTGTGAGCTGGGGAACTGAGTGCAGACTGGCTGGGAGAGCCCTGAGGAGAGACTGGAGAGGGAGGCATTGGGGAAAGAACAGGAGGAAGAACCGGGGAGACCTGACTCCCTCCCCATTCCGTAGTATCCATTGTGGGCTGGAAAGACGCAACACCAAAGAGGCAGAAGTGTGGTGCGCATGAACCAGAATGCCTGTTATTGAAACGCAGTACGCACACAGAGTGGATCCTTGGCCGAAGGGGTCACAGAACTTCCCAGAGACCCCTGAGGAGAGACTGGAAAAGGAGGCGTTGGTGAAAGAACGGGAGGAGGAACCAGGGAGTCCCGACGCCTTCTCTTTTCCATAGTCTCCATTGTGCAGGAAGAGGCCACACCCCGAAAGAGCCAAAAGCAGAAAAGCACACATAGACACCCCAAAACCACCTAGTGAAGGCGCGCAAACTTGCGCCACATGGCCGGCGAGGGTTGGCGAGTGTGTGTGTGGACCCACGCAGGCTGGTGAGGGCTCGCGTGGGCTGGCAAGGCATACCACAGGTTGGCACCAATGGGGCATGCAAGGGAGTACACAGATTGGCGAGGGCAGGGGTAAATTGACCCGCACGGCCTGTGATTGCGTAGCGGCTCACAAAATTAGTGGATCCCGGGCCGAAGGGGTGAGAGAGCGGCCAAGAGTCCCTGGAGGAAAGACCGGAGACAGGATTAACCAGAGAGTCCTAGAGCTGACTTCCTCCCATTTCCGTAGTCCCCATTTGGCGAGGGCAAGCAACGCACCCAAAGAGCCAAAAGCGGGGAAAACACACAATAGAAGACATTAAACGGACTAGTGCGGGGTGGCCGCAGGACAGGGGGGCCAGACGAGTAGGCGAGGTCGCTAATAAGCCCCCTGGACTGGGGCAAGCAAGCGCGAGTCCGGGCGGGTGGGGGAATCCTCCTGGGCCAGGGAACATGCTCAAGGAGCCGGTGTGAGAGAGCAGAGTGATCCCAAAAAATAGTCCATCCCTGAGCAAAGGGGTCACAGAGATACCCCAAAGAGGAATCAGACACAGACAGTAGATTCCTGGAAGGCTCAAACAAACAACCCAAGGTCATATAGGGTCAACAACTGACATCATCAGAGGCAGGCCCAGAAAGAAAAGTAAAGGAGAAAATAAATAAATAAATAAATACAAAGACCCACCAACTACCATAGAAGTTTAATCCACAAAGTGAGGAAATCTAGACAGCCCTATTGAAGCAGAAGCAAAAATAAATAAATAAATAAATAAATTACTTAATGGACTCTCACAAAAATGGGAAGAAGAAGAACTTCCCCCCGAATGAGTAGAAAAGGGGACTCCCCACAGAGAGAGCTCAATGAAATAAAGGCAAGGGAACTATCAGATATGGAATTCAAAACAGTGGTTCTAAGGAAACTCCATGAGCTCAGCCAGCTCAAAGAGAACTATGAGAAACTGCAGAGAAACTATCAGGATCTTACAGCAAACTATATCAGCCTGGAAAAGGACATAGAAACTATCAAGAAGACACAAGAGGATATGAAGAATACCATTTCTGAAATGAACAACACAGTAGAAGGAATCCAAAGCAGGCTGGATGAAGCCAAGGATCGAATCAGTGAGATAGAGGATAAGGTAGAAACAAGCTCCCAGAGAGAACAAGAAATGGAAAAAAGACTCAAAAAGAATGAAGAGGCATTTAGGGAAATGCAGGACAACCTGAAACGCAATAATATCCATATAATAGGGATACTAGAAGGAGAAAAAGAGGAGCAAGGGATAGAAAACCTCCTTGAAAAAGTAGTGATGGAAAATTTCCCAAATTGGAGGAGAGAAAGGCTCTCATGGATCCAGGAGGCACAGAGACCCCACTCAAGAGGGACTCAAGGAGGTCCACTCCAAGACACATCATCATTAAAATGGCAACTATCAAAGACAAAGAGAGAATCTTCAAGGCAGCAATGGAGGAGAAAGTAACATACAAGGGGGCCCCGATACGCCTAGGAGCTGACTTCTCAACAGAAACACTACAAGACAGAAGGGAATGGCAATAAATATTCCAAGTCATGAAGAGCAAGGGCCTACAGCCAAGGCTGCTCTACCCAGCAAGGCTCTCAATTAAAATAGAAGGGGAAATACGGAGTTTCCGAGACAAAAGAAGGCTGAAAGAATAGATCTCTACCAACCAGTACTCCAAGATATGCTAAGGGGACTGGTTTAAGAAGATGAAGGAAAAGAATGAGAGAGAGAGGAACACAGGTACAAAGAGAAAAGATGAGTAAGTTTCTATCAGTAATGTCTCTCAACATGAATGGACTAAATGCCCCAATCAAAAGACACAGGGTAGCTGAATGGATAAGAAAACATGACCCACACATATGCTGACGACAAAAGACCCACCTCCGAGCAAGAGACCTCCACAGATTGAAAGTAAAGGGATGGAAAAAAAATATTCCAAGCAAATGGGCATGAGAAAAAGGCTGGGGTTTCCATACTTGTATCAGACAAAGTAGATTTCAAAACAAAGGGTATAAACAGAGACCCAGAGGGGCACTTTATAATAATTAAAGGAAGAATCTATCAAGAAGACATCAACATTGTAAACTTATATGCTCCCAATATAGGAGCCCCCAAGTATATAGGAAATTGTTGGTTGACTTCAAAAGTGATACACAGCAACACACTGATAGTAGGGGATTTCAACACCCCACTGTCAAAAATGGACAGATCTTCCAAACAAAACATTATTAAACATATCGTGGCGCTGAATGACACACTGAATCAAAGAGACTTAACTGACATATATAGAAACTTACATCCCAAAGAGGAAAAATACACATTCTTTTCAAATGCTCATGGCAGTTTTTAAAGATAGACCACATGATAGGAAACAACGCAAACCTCAGCAAATTCAGGAAAATTGAAATAATACCAAACTTTTTCTCAGACCACAAGGCTTTGAAACTGGAAATCAACCTCAAAGAGAAACTTGAAAAACTCGCAAACTCCTGGACACGGAACAGTAGACTATTAAACAATTAATGGGTCAATAATGAGATAAGAGAAGAAATCAAAAAATTTCTGGAAACAAATGAAAATGAACACACAACAGTCCAAAACCTAGGGAACACAGCAAATGCGGTCCTGAGAGGGAAGTTCATAGCAATACAGGCTTACCTCAAAAAGATAGAAACAATTCAAATAAAAGACCTAAGAATACAACTTCAAGAACTGGAGAAACAACAACCAATAAATCCCAGAGCAAGTAGAAGGAAGGAAATAGTCAAGATTAG